CTGCGCAGATTTACCAGTCAGACACGACATCTCAAGATGGAAAAAAACTCGCTGAAAGTGAATTTTAGCAATCAACACAACTTGACGTAGAGACATGATTGGCTAAAAAATACAACGGTTTTTGATACATCGGAAAATCAACCAAAAATCGGAGACTGGGCGAAACGCTCAAGGTCGCAGAGGTATAGGGAATCCCATAGCGAAAGCAACGGAACGATTCTAATATCATGGGGAACTCTGTTCCCATGACAATAAACACGGCGCAGGGTATGCAACCATTTTATCATACACATGTTGCCATGTTGTCCTCAGCATGAGAAAAAAAAATCATAGGGCTACTAAATACTGAAAACGAAAAAAATCTGAAAAATTTTGCTTGTTTTATAAGTTTCTGAAAAAAATTAAAAAGAGAAAAATGAATACATCTTCAAAGTAAGCTTTTGTGATGTTAAGTGGTAAAATATATGTTATTAGGAAATCTGACCCCGCTCAGACTTTCTAGAGGTACTTGTAAATTTTTTGATCTCTCATGCACATTTTTTTTTTTTTTCCCCTTCAAAATCGTGTTCCTAGATGTTTTTGTAGAGCTATTTGTGAAGGACAAAAAATTTCGTGCATACCACGAAAAATGGCAAAGAGTTGAAACTCCCGTGGGGTCAATCTGACCCCACTCAGGCAGACTAGGGTTAAATTAATCATGTTTAGGAAAACACCAAACACTAAAAAATTACGACTGCAAGAAAGGCCAAAAATTTGTGCATGCCATTTTTTGATAAGCTAAACTAGAGTATAATGTGTATTATATTTTCTTTTATTAAAATAAAAGTTACGCCAAATAACTTTACGCAATTTTTGGAGTGCGGCAGAGGATATGCCTTCAGTCTAGCATTGAAATAGCATACAAGAATCAAGAATAAGGATTGTCTGTTGCTATTAAAGGCGCGTTGACTTATTTGGTGTAGACTTGAAAGGTTCATAAAAATGAATTTTAAATTTATATGAAGATAACATTGATAAAAGTAAACTATGGCAGCCCTAGAACATAGAATAAAAATAGACAGGAAAAGGCGGGGACGAGGCTGAAAAAAACACACAATAATTACAACTCATGAGACGTTTCGACCGGTATCCTGGTCATCATTATCAACCTTCGAAAAGAATTAAAAATATCTAAAAAAAAAATCTAAAAAAGAACTTGTAATGTGTTTTTTCAGCCTCGCCTTCGCCTTTTCCTGTCTATTTTTATTTTATAAAGATAATTTGTACATCGTTTTAATATGGACGGTGTAACATCTTAACCACGTATCTCGTTTGTGGTGTTCAAAAATCTTTGCTCCTGATTCATTTTTTTAGAGTGAAACATATAAAAATCATTCCTTAAGGTTTTCTCAGAATTAGCTCCTGAGAGAAGAAAATTAGCGGAAGTTTTTAAAGAGTGCCATTGAGCATTTCTCCATTTAAGAAATGAAGTATGACAGGAAGTCTGTAATGTCGTAAATCCAGGTACGTGGTTTGGAATTTCGCCATTAATATGTTTAAAAAATCAGCGATCATTAAAAAATGTAGGGACTCGATTTTAAAGAGTCATCAGTGTATCACTTCTCACTTTACAACTGAACAGATGAAACCATTAGTATGTAACTGGTAAAATTAGTCGTGGATTTTCATTTTAGGCTTGGAGGTTAAGTTTTACTATTTCATTGAATACTATCGGGTAATCTTTTATAATTTTTTATTTTTTTGCGCAAAAATGTGCACTTATAATCTTTCCTACATCACTATTGTTTCCACCTCCTCCTTCGGGTAGATGCGGCACTTCCTTCATATGTTTTTTGAACGAAGGATCGGATAATTTAAGGCGAAGTTGGGCCTCAACTTCTTCATTTTTCTCAATGGTGCTTTTGAATAAAGCTTGTAAGTGGTCCGTTTGATTGGTCATCCTCAAATTGGGTGGAGAGAGCTTTTCACCCTGCGATTTTACTATTTTATTGAATTGGACTACCTGCTCAGTAGATGCTTCAATGGTCTTAATGGCCTGCAACAAAGTTTCAATTTTAAATACAAAAATGAAAGATTGCAAATAAAAAATAAAAACAAATAAAATGAATATATTTTAATTATGGATAAAGATAATATTTCAATAATATGGATATCTTAATTATTTTTATTTTACAGAAACGGACAAGTCGGTAACACACTCAAATATGTGAATTTTGCTGAGGATTTCTAGATTAAAGCTTTATTGTTGTTTTATAAGTTATATTGAAGGAACACCTGTGGTTAAAATTTATTGCAATAAAATGGAATACGTTGAAATTTTTTAATGCATTGCAAATTTCCCATCCTTCCATCACATGGAGCTCAGTTTATCGATTGCTCAAAATTGGCCCATAATTGCCAAATTATGTAAATTTCACTTCATTACATCCTGCGAACATTAAAAATATCTAGGAGTTTGAGTATCCCAGGATGGAGGGATGGACTAAGCCATGAAAGATCGAAACCTGCAGTGACGGAAAGCTTTTGCTATGTCAAATAAGATTCTTTGAGATCGAAGTATCTCTGATAGAAAAGAGATTGATTCATAACACCACAATCAAAAGCATTCGGATCTTCGGCAGTGAAGTATGGCCCATGAAAGATCGTACCCAAATGATTCTTAAGGGGAGCCAGACACCCTATCTTCCCAATTTTAACGTTTGTACCTTTTTCTCAGGATCTACTGAACAAAAATTACTTCTTTTTTTGTTTTGAACTTTGAACCCTCCTGAACATTTTAACACGGGCTTTTTTCAAAATTTAAAAATTTGAAATTTTGGTGAATTTTTGAAATTCTTTTGTTAGAAATCAAAGAATTTGGACATTTGAAATCAAATTAAAAAAATCCAGCTCGAAATTTTGGAAAAGCTTGTGTTAAAATGTGCAGGAGAGTGCAAGGATTAGAACAAAACAAAGTTTTTGAAAATCGGTTCAGTAGATCCTGAGAAAAAGGTACTTGAGTGCTGAAAGATTTAGTTTTCGGGAAATTAGGAATTAAAAAAAACAGCAAAATCAGTTTTAGTGTAATTAGTAGTGTATTTAGTAAACCTTCCCTCACTAAACCGCGCGTAACTTCAAAACTACTCATCAGATCAAGTAAAACTTGGTCTGAAATTAAACGTGAGGAGTAGGAGATTAAGATTAGCCAGAAAATAAAAAAAAAACTTTTTTTTTTCAATTTTCAATTGTCTGGCTCCCCTTAAGGCTAACTGACATGGATTTCTGGCGAAGATCAGCTAGAGTCTCGAGAGGGGATCAGATCATGCAAGAAACGAAAGAGTGCGTGAGATCATGAATGCCGAGCAGAACATCGTGCATGAAATTATGATCAAACAGCTTGTCTAGTATGGTCATGGTCAACGAATGGCGGATGACGGATTGCCTAAGGCCTTGTCTCCACGGGACGTTTTCATGGGATTTGTCCCAAGTTCGAATCGCAGGAATGAAACTTCTAGGATTTTTCCCAGTTACCGGTCTCCACGGGACGGGGCTCATACAGTCCTGCGACTAGTTTACGCGGGAAGATAAATTAGTTAAAGTCGAGTATTTAACCGGGATTAAAATAATAATTGCACTCAATTGACAATTAGACACATTTTTTAACTAAACAAACATTAACAATGTAGACATGAATAAAATATCGCACGATTCGTTTTCACTTCTTCTTCTTCTCTCAGTGGATCCTAGGGGTACAAGTACCATACTTGGTACTGGGAAAAATATTGATTAACTCAATATTTTTTCCAACTTCGTAAGTGGGATTTTTCCCTGGGACAAATCTCGTGAAACGGCTCGTGGAGACAAGGCCTAAGAAGGTACTAGATTGGGTTCCTCTTGGGAGGAGACGTAGAGGACGTCCAGCAAAATCGTGGATGGGTGGCATTCAAGATGAAATCACAAGATGCCATTTACTAGATGATCTCTAGGTCGATAGACAAGAATGGTGATTAGGTGTCGCAGAGCGCTCGGACGCGCTGCAAAAGTGACTTGTATGTATGGAGGTCAAAATAATAATCAATAATCTTTTTGGTCGAAATAAAATTTTCCTTCGAGCAATAAAGTTTCACTTTGGGCAAAAATATTACCTTCCTTGAAGCCTCCGATCCTTCATCGGAGTGGATCAATGTATTCACTGCATCATAGTAACAGAGATATTCCATAAAAAGCCAGTTCACAAACGATAGAATGGATAAAAATTCAATCATAGGTTTGTGTCTCATGAATTCTTGGTTTCCGAGGGCCTTATTTAGTTCTTTCTGCCGATCCTTTTCTAAAAGTTTCAACTCGTTCAACAGACGATGTAAGCTTTCTGTCGCAGCTGTTGAACTGCTTTCGCCCGGCACTGCCTGTGAACAAAATAATTCAGCTTATCTAGAGGGAAAGTGCTCTGAAAGGTTTTTTTTTCTCCTCAAAGACGCTAACCATTTGAATATAACGGATTTGATCATTTAAACTAAATAAACAATTGGATTGCATTTTGCAAAAAGGAACCAGAAGAATTACGATGATGCTAAAATTGTGCATTTTCATCCTTTGCAATAAAATTACCGAACCATGGAAAAATATGAGATTTACATTGTAATTTTGTCTTAAATTTACAGTTTTTAGCGAGTAAAATAGATACTGTTAGTGGATAACCAGGTTTTTCTTTCAAGACAAAAGAAGGTGCACAATCTTAGCAACATTGTAATACTTTTGGTTCCTTTTTGCAAAATGCAATCCAATTTAAGCATGAAACGCGCCTGTTTATATCATGCATAGCTTCGAGGGCGACTGACTGATAAAAATCTAAAATCTTTTATATTTTCTTAAAGTGGAACAAATCAACATCATTCCTTGAAATTTTCTCCGAATTTGATTCATACGGAGTAGAAAATTTAAGGACATTTTTAAGAATTGTCGTTGAGTGGTTCTCCATGTAAAAAATGAAGTATAAGAAATCTGCAACGGAAGTTTCAATATCGATGTATAAAATCCAGTGGCGAGGCGTGAATGATCAATTAATGATATCTCTCCTTGAAGTTGTGGTAAAGGACCGATGGGAAAGGTTTTCGTTGCAAACACCGTGTTTATCGATCTTTTTCATCGGTTTAACTGGCAGATCAATCGATATATCGTGAAGCACGCCCACGTCACTGATTTACTGCACAAATTTTGCAGAATCAATTTGCCACATTTTTCAGAGCGATTATAACTATGTAATTATAATTGCTAATATCACGTGTCAGTGTATTTTACTCACCCATGCTGCAACACTGGCAAGAGCAGACGCTGCAGATTGTATCGCTGCAAAAATCATCTTGCTGATTTTTAAATGTTGACTTGATCTGTGCCACCACTTTTACTGAATTCAAATTATACTCCTCAATATCCACCGGTAACTCGTGAGTGCAAGTCACTTTTATATCAGCTACTTACAGTTCGGAATAGGGTGACCTTTGATTATCACATTGATAAAATGCGCCAAAAATGGTGGGTAGTCATTTTTTCTAAAACATTTTTTTCTACTGCAATTTTTCCTGATACTTTTTTCCTACTCGTTTTTTGTCCCATCACAGTTAGTCCTACGAGTGAGATGTC